TGTCTCTCACTGTCTTCAGGGTGTGAGACAGCTCCTCCCCCTCTCTCCCTTTAAGCCTAACAGTTTGGAAAAACTGACCAATCCCCTCATTAGAGTTCCATACACCTTATTTGCATGGTCCTATCCCCACAAATGTTCCATGCACCTTATTTACATTAGCAGTGAGCTGTCCAATCCCTTGGTGGGCCAGTAACACCTTATTTGCATAGTCCCACCCAATCAATGGATGGGAGTAATAAAGACTATGGCTAGAAGGACCATGTTAAGTAACCCACTGGACAGCACAAGCTAACCATATTTATGGCTAGAGCTTTAAAAGATCATTTCATGGCTGGGTGTGTATTTGTTTCTTGGCATGAAACCCATTTACCATATTAAAAATAAAAAAAAAACCCCAAGGTTCAATTGACTGTGATTCAGTTCTTTGACTGTGTTCTTGGCAGAGGAAGAAACTCAGTATTAAGTTTTATTTTTCTTTCCAGCCAGTGCCTTGTGCTCCATGGGCACCATGGACCTGTTTCTCCTCAGGACAACATTCCTGGGGATTAATAGCACTCAATAAGCACTCATTGTTGCTTGATCTGTAAGTGACAGCTTGCAGAGCAGGAAAACAAGCTGGCATTCTCTTCCAAGGGGAAAGAATCCTGGGGCAGTCTTGGTCCAACTGCATGTTGCCTTGGGCAACCTTGGGGCACAAGGTCAAATCTGCCACCAGATGGGGTAACAGAGAAGGTGTGGTTCATGGGATATTTCATGTGCAAAGGGCTTTGGACACTGTAAACTACTACAGACATCATGACAAGGGCTAGAATTTCTCATTGGTGATTTCAAATGATAACTATGTATTTTATAATACAGATGATTTCTCATTATTTGCAGTGGTCATGGTCTATTAAGTTGCCGTGAACACTGAATTAGCAAATTCTGAACTACTGCTCCAGGGGAAATACAGGATTAAGTTCCTGTGAGCTTCTGATCATAATATTTTTGTCAGCTGATCAATACATAACCTTGTTTTTCATGTGTTTCTGTTTAAAGGCACATTATATAATGTGGCGCAAATGGTTAAGGGCTTGGCTGCTAACTGAAAGTTGGTTGTTTGAGCCCACCCAGGGGTGGCAAGGAAGAAAGGCCGTGTGATCTACTTCTGAAAAATCAGCATTGAAATCCTTATGGAGCACAGTTCTACTCTGACACACATAGGGTTGCCACGAGTTGGAATCGACTTGAAGGTAACTTTTTTTAAAATTTAATATATATTGTGGATTCACCAACACTGAACTCATGACCAATATCACTATAACTGAAGTGTGAATGAAGCTAAGCTCCCTAAGGTACACTACAGCCTTTTTGTCCTTAGGAACACTAGATAACACTATAGCACCATGCTTGGGGACACCTCTCCTTTTTTTGGATTTTTAAAAATCCATGTAAAGATATGTATAAGGAATCTTGGTGGTGTAATGGTTAAGCACTTTGCTGCTAAATGAAAGATCGGTGATTTGAATCTACTCAGTGGCTCTTTGAGAGAAAGACCTGGCTATCTGCTTCCATTAAGATTACAGCCTAGGAAACCCTATGGGGAAGTTCTACTCTGTCACATGGGGTCACTATGAATTGGAATTTACTTGAAGGCACACAACAAGTAACTAATTTAAAAATATCATTCTTTCATTCAACAAATATACCCTTTGGGGACAGAGCTGGGAACAAGATGGGCAAGGCTCTTGCCTTCATGGAGCTTCTATTCTGGTGAAGGAGACAACAAATAAATAGAACTCTTACAGGTTGCAATACTTACTATGAAGAAAAATAAAACAGGCAAAGGGTTTAGAGCAGCCCCGCACAGCAGATCCTTCTTTCACAGTAGAAATGTCTGTATCTGAGCCACATGTGGATTATGGCTGGTGTGGCTGAGGAACTGAATTTCACTTTATATTTAATTTTTATTAATTTAAATTTTTAAGGGTGTTTTTTGAGGTGAAATTGACACAACATAAAATGAACCATTTTATAGTGAACAATTCAGTGGTATGCAGTACATTCACAATGTTGTGCAACAACCACCTCTATCTAGTTCTAAAAGTTTTCATCACCTTAAAGTAACACCTCATACTCATTACGTGGTTTATCACTCCATACCCATTAAGCTGGTGAAGAATATTGAATGTACCATGAACTGCCAGAAGAACTAACAAGTCTGTCTTGGAAGAAATACAGCCAGAATGCTCCTTAGAAGTGAGGAGGGTGAGAATTCGTCTCAAGTACTTTGAACATGTCGTCAGGTGAGACCAATCCCTGGAGAAGGACATCATGCTTGGTAAAGTAGAGGGTCAGTGAGAAAGGAAGACCCCCAGTGAGATGGATTGACACAGTGGCTACAACAATGGGCTCAAACATAGCAACTTTTGTGAGGATGGTGAAGGACCAGGCAACTTTTTGTTCTGTTATATAGGGGTTGCTATGAGTTGGAACTGACTCAACAGCACCTAACAATAAAAACAACAACAACATGGATTACAGTGGTCTGATCCACAACAGATCATGGAAAGAATACAGGACCAGATGACGTTTCATTTTGTTATACATAGTGGTGCTATGAGTTGGAACTGACTCGACAGCACTTAACCACACAACAACCCATTAAGCAGCTTTTCCCCATTCTCCTCTCCCCCTCATCCATCACTCTGTGTCCTTTCTTTATGAACCCCCTGGTACGAGAGCTTCCCCAGGTGATGTGGGTGGGAGCAGCACTGTCCACTGTGGTAGACACTGGCCACAAGTGGCTACTGAGCCATTGAAATGTGGCTGGCACAACTGAGGAGACTCAGAGGAACTGAGAGAAGGGCGAAGGGGATGGTGGCCTGGAAGTGAGGGGGAAGGGAACAGGAAATTAAGCAGAAGAACCTGGCAGTGCTCAGACCAGGTGGAACCTGGTAGATATGGTTAGGATTAAAAAATGGGAGCCATTGATGGTTGTAAGCAAGGAGTCAGAGGAATAAGGAACAGAACTATCTTAATTACCTACTGCTGCCATAACAGAAATACCACAAGTGGATTACTTTAAAAACAGAAAATTATTTTCTCACTGTTAGGAGGCTAGAAGTCCAAATTCAAGGTGCTGGCTCTAGGAGAAGGCTTTTTCTCTCTGTTACCTCTGAAGGAAGGTCTTTGTCTCTTTTGAGCTTCCACTCCTTGGCGATCTTCATGTGGCTTGACATCTCACTTCCCCCATCTCTGCTTGCTCACTTGCTTGTTTAATCTTTTTTATATCTCGAAAGAGATTAAGACATATCTTACAGTCATCCTATCTTATTAACATAACAAAGAAAATCCTTTCCCAAGTGGAACTATAAATATATAAACCCATTGCCCTTGAGTCGATTCTGACTCATAGTGACACTACAGTACGGAGTAGAACTGCCCCATAGAGTTTCCAAGGAGCATCTGGTGGATTTGAACTACCAACATTTTGGTTAGCAGCTGTAGCTGGCTGTAGCTCTTAACCACTGTGCCACCAGGGTTCCGTAAATATATAGGGGGTTAAGATTTCTAACACATATTTTTTGGGACATGATTCAATCCATAACAAGGACATATGTGTGGAGACTTGTTAGAAGCCTCCTGTTGTGGTCCGTGTGAGAAAACATGATGAAGAGGATGATAGCCTGGACCAGGAAGTGACTGTGAAGATGGAGAGAAGTGGGTGGATTCAGGAGGAATTTGGGAGGTGAAGTTAACATGTCTTGGCTTGAGGATAGTTACCTGGATTAAGAGAGAGCAGGTGATGAAAGCACTTTGCACATAGTGAAACTGGACACACATTGGTTATTGTGAGAGTTAAAGCAGTGTCTTAGGGTGATGAATCTTGCAGGGGTGTGTATTTGCTCTACAACCTTGTGAGAAAGCCAAGGCCAGCATGGCTTTTAGTTTAAGATGGTTTTATTAGTCAGAGTAAGCACTGCTAGCTGATGTAACAGATAAACCCCAAGGTCTTGGCCGCTTACTACAGTGAAGTTTACTTCTCCATCATGTCACAGACTGATGCTGGTTGGGGCTGAAGCAAATCCTGAGGTTTAGCTTTCTGAAGTAGCCTTCAGTTCCCTTGTGAGGAGATGGCTCTCTTGAGGGACTGCTTTGAGGTTCCTGAGGTACAGAAAGTGACCAACCCTTGAGTAGATCAGCTGGTGTGGAAGATTATGTTTTCCAAAGATGGCTGTGACAATATTTCTTGTCCCATGTATTCTCCTAGCACCTTGCCTCCCTCCGTCAAGGTCCCCTCTCCTTGATCCTAGGTGGACCTTTGCAATGGCCTCAGCCAATGGAGCACAACAGCAGTGATGCTATGTCATTTATGACTAGGTCATAAATATATGACTGTTTCACCAACTTCTCATGGGACACTTGCACTTGGAATGCAGCCACCATGCTGTGAGGAAGCCTAAGCTCAGAGAGTCCACATGGGGAAGTCAACCATAGGTGTTCCTGCTGACAGCCATGCTAAGGTCTGAGCCAACAGCCAGCATCAACCACCAGACGTATGAGAAAAGTTGCCTCTGGATGTTTCCAGCACCATCCTCCAGTTGAGGCCCCAGATATGGTGAAGTAGTGAGAAGCCATCAGTGCTGAGCTGTAGAAATTCCAGACTCCTAGAACCTAAGAGCATTATAAAATGGCCTCTTACCTTTCTTGGTTTTGAGGGCACAGGGCCTCCTGGGATACCTTCCTTCTTGTTTCCAGGCTCAGGAGGTCCCGGGCCTTTGTTCTCCCCAGTGCAGACCCATCTTTTCCACCTGCCTTCTTTGGGTGCAGGGAGCACCTGACGACAGTGACTAAAAATGGTTTAATTTTATTAGATTGAGTCTTTATTCGTTTTTGTACTGACAAATCCTTTGGAAGCACTGCATGCCCTTTAAAAATCAAACTAATTAAGCTAAAAATTAATTAAAAACATAAGAAAATTGATCTAAAAAGCAAAGTAAACTGCTAAGAGGAGTGAAATTAACACTGAGCCCTAGACAGAGGGCCAGCGACACACCAGGCTTTGTTCAGACAGAGGTTGAACAAACAGGTTCTTTCTGCATTTCTGTATTGTCATTTGTTCTTGGAGGAATCCAAAACAAGGTTGAAGGAAATATTAGGAATGAAAAAGCCATTCGTTATGTTTCAGAACTAGTGAGTGGTGGTTACACAACATTGTAAATGTGTGAAATGCCACTGAATTGTTCACTTTAAAATGGTTTATTTTCAATTGTTACATGAATTTTAGCCCAATTTTAAAAAAAGACAAAAAAGAGGCATTGATTAATAATTCAAAAATACGATCATGCTGCATTGCAGCATAATCTAAGACCCAAGTGAAGAGAATGAAATTAGTACCTTTACTTCTGTCCTAGCAATTGGAGTGAATTCAGGTTTCTGGCTGAGGCAAATGGACTTTTTGTGATTAATTTTTCAGTGTCGTGGTTAAGAGAATGAGCAGTGGATCAGACCAACTCGGATCTAAGGCCTGACTCTGCCACTTAAGTGTTATGTGAACTTGGCAAATTGTTTGATTAAAAAAAATGTTACTTTATTATCAGCAGCCCATGGGGAAACATGTGAATATTATCCAATATTCCACATTTAACCTTAAATGTCTTATGAAACTTCACCTGAGGAAATGTCAAATACAGCCAAGAAACATCCAAGAAGAAAGAGGGCTGTCAGAAGCCATAAAATTCCAAAATGGTTTCAAATGTTAAAAAAAATCACTCACCAAAAACACTTCTGGGAGTCCCAGCTCTTTAAATTATTAGTCCTTTAGTTTCTCTAACTGTAAGTCTCTCAATGGAGATCACCTATCTCAATGAGGATGTAATGGGATAAAGGTGTTTAACACCCCACTCAGTCAACATAAGCTTTGTGGTTACTGTTCTAATTACTATTACTAATTTACCTATTAGTTCTATAGGTGCCCCTGGGTGGCAAAAACAGTTAATTAAGCACTCGGCTACTAACCTGAAGGTTGGAGGTTTGAATCCACTTGGAGACGCCTTGTAAGAAAGGCTTGGTGGTCTACTTTCAAAAGATCATAGCCATTAAAAATTCTGTGGAGCACTGTTCTATCCTGCAACACATAGGGTCACCATAAGTTGGGGTCAACTCAATGGCAACTTTTTTTTTAAATTATTAGCTCTATGCAAGTTCTGTGAAGGCAGGAAAATTGCTTGTTTTCTTCCACTCAGTAGGT